TTCAAGTTACGCCCATCTTCTGGAACGGATTATGGTCGTAAGTCGAGGCACCACTGTACAGTTACAGGGAGAACATACCAGCTAACCCCAGACGATATGACAAAAACATCCAACATGCTAGCCAAGAAAAAAAGAGTTTCTTAATCATTAGGTATAAAAAATGTTTATTTATTTATTTGATTTCTATCCCACCCGACAAAGACTTCTGAGAGGTCCAGGCCCAGAGGGGAACTTCAATGGAAATTGAATCTGACTGGATTCCAATGTCTTGCCCAACAGACATCTCTTGTTGCTTTGACTCTCTCCAATCCTGCTCTCTTCCACAGGTCCACCAAATGCCTCCTCTAAGCAGTTAGTCACTCATCGCCATGGCCTTATCTTCATCATCCACGTCTGTGGAAAATGCAGCCGGCTGCCCCATCTGCTTTGAATGTCTAACACATCCCGTGACCCTGGACTGTGGCCACAACTTTTGCCGAGGCTGCATCACCAAATACTCTGAGGAATGGGAATGGATGGGGGAACTGGAATGTCCAATTTGCAAAGCAAAGTTCCAGAAAGGGCACTTCCGTCCTAATTGGCAGCTGGCAAGTTTAGTACAAGAAATTAAACAGTCGCAAACACAGGATCTGTGTTTGCAACACAAGGAAAAACTCCACCTCTTCTGCAAAGAAGACCGTAAATTGGTGTGCTTCGTTTGCGAGCGATCCCCAGAACACAAAGAACATACTATGATTCTCAAGGAAGTGGCTGCCCAGGAATACAAGGTAGGAAGTTCTCTACATCCTTGGTAACAACATCCTTCCATTCTTCATACAAATAGGGATTTTCTTTTCAGAGGGCTAGCAGGATTTTCCATCCGTAGGACTGATGGCAGCTATGTTCTGCCTTGACAAAGATTAAATTCCAGGGACAAGCCTTTGGATTGAAAGCACTGAAATTTTCCAAAGTAACATCAGAGTATCCTTTCACTCAAGCCGTCTTTGGTGTCTCCACTTCATGCATTATTTATTTATTTATTTATTTATTTATTTATTTTCAAAATTTGCTTGCTTGCTTGCTTGCTTGCTTGCTTGCTTGCTTGCTTGCTTGCTTGCTTGCTTGCTTGCTTGCTTGCTTGCTTGCTTGCTTGCTTGCCACTTTTGTCCTTGTTAAGCAATCCAGGGCAGCTCACACTAGATAAAACAATAGACTTTAAAAGGACTATATAAATATTAGTTTGTACAATCAGATGGGCATAAAGGATCACATCTCATCATGCTGGAAAGAGCTGCTTTGCGAGGAATGTTCTTGCTTAAACCAACCTTTTCATGTGAAAAGGAATCGTTCCAGCCCATCTCCAAAATAAATAAATAAATAAATCTGTAACAGTAGCAAAAAAGATCTAGTTTTAGGCACAGAGCCGGGTCAGACTGCTTCATGGTTTTCTGTACAGTACTTCATCTGATCAATTAAAAAAAAACTATTACTAAACTAAATCACAAATAGTTTAAAACTACAGACTATTTCTTCATCTGATCACATCAAGAGATACCACACACAGTCCGGAAGAAGAACAGAGAGGAATGGAAAATGAAAAATCACACTGGGGGAGGCTTCCCAAGAGGACCCTGTGGGAAATCACCACTCGACTGGGTGGATTTAGCCTTGACAAGAAATTCTTACAACAAATCCAGACATGACTTTAATTCTGTAATTTCTGGTATGTAAACAGCTGTCATGGGTGGCAACTTTGAGCCCCAACTCTGAGTTCTTCCAGATAAGACATTTGTACTGCCTTTCTCCGCCCAACCTAGAGGGTTTGGACAGATTTCCAGAGATTCATTCCCACAAGCCGATTCCATCACCCCCAATGCTGGAGCAATAGAAGCAAAAAGCATTAAGATTATGAGCTACGCAGGTAACGAGGTAAAGGAGACACCAGGCTAAAGAGAAAAAGGAGAAGGCCTTCTTGCTTTCACACCGCAGTCCTGCTCCTCTTACAGGAAATCACTGAGCAGTCAAAGGGAAAGAAAAGTCTGCCTGCAATCTTGTCTCTCCTGTTTCTTTCAGTTGCTCCCTTTGATCTCCCCCTTTTTTTATTTGACTGGCCATTAACCTCCCTTTGGCAAGTAGGTAGAGACATTCTCAGATTCCTTAAGAAAAGCAAGGTGAGAGGAGCAAACCTGGACTGCAGCAGGAAGGGCTGCATCATCTTCACAGCTTCCCAGCTCATCTGATTACTCAATGGCTGGAATTCTAATGGTGTTTAAATAAGGTTTTTTTTTCAATTATAAGAGCTAATGGCTACTAAATGACAAAGTGCCAGGATACCAGTGGGTAACCTTTGGAAGCATATAACCAGGCAGGTGACCAAAATGTGTTGTATCACCTTGTCAAGTACAGTGGTGCCTCGCTTAACGAGCACACTGTTTAACTACGAATCCATATAGCGATGTCGCATTTGCGATCGCAAAAGCAATCGCATTGCGATGTTTAGATAGGCTAAACATCGCATTGCGACCATCGGTAAGCGTTTCACTTACCGATCTTCGCATTGCGATGTTTTTTTCAACAGCTGATTGGCGGTTCCAAAATGGCCGCCCGCATTATTTTCGCACCCTGCCCTCACTTACCGAGGGCGCGAAAATGACGGCCGGATGGAGAATCTTCGCTGAACGGTGAGTTTAGGGCCCCATAGGAACGCATTAAACTAAGTTTAATGCGTTTCTATGGGGTTTTTCAGTCCGTTTAGTGATGATTCCACATAGCGACGATTAATCCGGAATGGATTAACGTCGCTATGTGGGGCACCACTGTAAATGTAGTTTGCTGCAGCAGGTTAGGCACATCTTGTGGATTCTGTCTGAGAAAAAAAGGTGAAATAAGAGCCCAACTAATTGCTTAAAGACCTGAAATCTGGCTACAGGGATGGCATCCAGAACACAGGAAAAGGCAGAAGAGTGGGGCAAGCAGTGGGGAAAGGAAAGGGGGCTACCAGAGTGGAACAGAGAAGAAAATTAATTCCATAGACAGTGCTGCTGCCAGAGAATCATCTCTCTGGCACAACCCCACATATGACATCTTAATTTGAGGAATCTGGATATGTTTGTGTGGGGATCCCTGTGCCTCCAGTTGTATTTGGGCTTGGAAGGAACTCTTCTTTAGCTTGAGATGTCTCTGAGCACTGCTGTGGTCACTTTGAAGCAGAAAGCCAGCGCTAAATTCATACCCCCCCCTGAACAACAGGAACAACAACAACAACAACAACAACAACAACAACAGAAAGAAAGAAAGAAAGAAAGAAAGAAAGAAAGAAAGAAAGAAAGAAAGAAAGAAAGAAAGAAAGAAAGAAAAAGAAAGAAAGGCTGGCTTTGGGGATGGTTAAAGTCATCCAGGAAACAAACAAAAAACAAACAAGTGGTGTAAATCAATATGAGAGAAGCATCATCTTGATTCCTGGAACAATATTTGGTATGATCTATATGTGAAAGGGAATTCTAGAGTTACAATAATGACACTTCAGAACCCCAGGCCCAGGTGGGCAGGGATCTGTCATGGCAGGGGTCAGTCACATTGTTCAACTTCCTTTTCTCTTCTCCTTCTCTGTCTCTGAAGGAAAGGTAAACTTCTGTGTTCTCTTCAGGATCTCCTCACCGGTCCTTTGGAGCTTCTGAAGCAGGAAAGGACACAAGTTCTGAAATGCAAAGAAGAAAGAGAAAAAGAAAGCCATGACTTGCTTGTAAGTGTAATTCTTATTAAGATGCCAAGTTCCTCAACCCATATAAGGTACAGTAAATGTCATACAAAAGTAAGGATTGCAAGTCAGAAGGCAATCCTGATTTACAGCACATTAATGGTTTAGAAGACCTGACCTATCGTAGCCAATTTTTTAATGAAAGGAGATCCATAATATGAGACCATATGAATCAGAGCACTGATTTTGTATTCTTATTGGGTGTCTGATGGGGAACTGGGACATCTTTGTTTACAGGCCTTTACATACTGTTCAAAGAGTCTCATCATGTGAATTCACAATTTACAGTAACTGTGTTAGTTAACTCTCTTCCTGTCCTAAGCTTCCTTTTCTCCCCTTTCTGTCTGTTTGTTGCAGAGACAGACAAAAGCAGAAATGGAAAAGATGAAAACAGAATTTCAGCAACAGCACCAGTTTTTGGAAGAACAGGAGAAGCTTTTGATGGCCCAGATGGAAGAGGTGGAGAAGGAGATTGCCAGGAAAAGGGAGGAGCACCTGGCCAGGCTCTCTGAGGAACTCTCCTCTCTTGGAGGTCTCATCCGGGAGATGGAGCAGAAGCGCCAGCAGCCCCCAGAGGAACTCCTGCAGGTAAGACCAGCAGGAGCAGAGCAGAAGATTATCCAGGGGAAAGCTGGCTCTCAAATACTTCTGTGCCCCTCCCTACAAAAGGAGTAAAGGGATCCAGTTTGAGGTACAGAGAGCCAACTTTAGTACATGCCAGACGATCAAAAGAAACAGGACAGTGTGTTTAGCTCATTGTTGTTTAGTTGTTAAGTCATGTCTGACTCTTCGTGACCCCATGGACCAGAGCACGCCAGGCCCTCCTGTTTTCCACTGCCTCCCGGAGTTGGGTCAAAATCATGTTGGTAGCTTCGATGACACTGTCCAACCATCTCGTCCTCTGTCGTCCCTTTCTCCTCTTGCCTTCACACTTTCCCAACAAAAGGGGCTTTTCCAAGGAGTCTTCTCTTCTCATGAGATGGCCAAAGTATTGGACCCTCAGCTTCAGGATCTGTCCTTCCAGTGAGCACTCAGGGTTGACCTCCTTCAAAATGGATAGGTTTGTTCTCCTTGCAGTCCAGGGGACTCTCAAGAGTCTCCTCCAGCACCACAATTCAAAATTTAGCTCAGTACAGACTCAATACTGAAGGACACCCTTGCATTTTTCACTTCAGTGCCAATGGTCTCTTTCCCAGACCAGGCACCCTTCACATCTCCCCTTAAAACAGTGTAGCGGCATAGCTGGTCTTATCCAGCAAGGCTTCCCTCTTACACAGCTTCAGAGTTGATGGAAAACACACAAACACATCATTTACATTCTGAGAATATTTTCTTGGCATAAAAGATATGATGTGCACAAAAGCAAATTTAAGACAAAAGAAGATTAGAAGCCTTGTCTAGCTTCCACCATCTCCCTGATCTCTCTCTCTCTCTCTCTCACAAAGACACACACACACACACACATTTATTCTGTTATAAAACCCTTTAAAAATAGCCAGGTGACCTACAACCACCAGGCCTGTTTGCGTAAAAAGGCATTCTGCCAGGTATGCATGCCAGGTCTCCTCCAGAATAAGATCTTGAATAATCTGGGATTTATTGGACACAGACCTGGCATTCAACAGCACCAGTTTTAGAGTGGAGGGACGGCCGATCTGACTACCTCGAGACTGGCAGGAGGTCACAGTGCCAGAACACGGAACAGCCTTCAAACATCTGTCCACCCTTCTTCTGTAACATGCAGGCACTGTGCCAGCCCCATATCTCCTTCTACCCATAATCACTCGGATGTTAGAACCCTTGCTGGGGTGGCAAGCCCTCCTCTCCATACCAGAAAAAGAAAATTAAGGAAATTAAGTACTAGACTAGGTTAATACAATGAAATAACAATAACAAAATTAATAAATTTAATACAACAATAATAGACTAAGCAATTATCCATACCAGATTGAACAAATTATCAATTAGCAAATTATCAATTTAACAAATTCAATAACATTTGAATCAAAATTTTAAATATAATTTAAATTAAACAATTTAGATAAATGTAATTAACTGTACATGTGATTCTAAATACAGTAGTATAATACAAGCAGCAGAATAGAACAAACTAAAATATAACTAAATAACATATAACATATAACAAAAAAGAAATAAAATAAAATAAACAGAAAATTAACACAAGAATCTCCCTCCACACAATTGGACCAGTCCTGCAGCACACTGGTCACAGTGTTTAAAAGACTGCACACTCCCATCCCACCCACCATCCCTTTACTCTAAGAAGAAACCAACTCAGTGCCTTCAACCCTTGCCAGGACAGCAAAGCAGCGGTATCTCATTCACTTCCTCATAGGCAAACCACAGGTTTCTTCAAGATGCTGACCCACCCACCCCAGAAGATACTTTGAGACCCCCCCCCTTAGGGATCATGACCCACAGGTTTGAAACCCCTGTGCTAAACTCTTTGTTCCTTCTCTCTTTTCCCTCAGAATGTTAGGCATCTTGCAAAGGTAAGTGGAGCCACTCATTTCCATTAGTGCTTCATGATACTGGAAGGGCCTTTGTGTAAGAGAAGTGGTCTTGTATTCTGGTGGAGAGATAATGTTGCTCTCCAGCATCACAGAGTAAAACAACGGGTATTAACAATGAGCACCCCATTTCTCCCACCCAAGAGCCCTGTCACCGTACAGTTCTTTCCTCCCCTCCCTGGCAGACAATTCTGAACATGGCCAAAGAGCCCGAAAAACCCACAACAACCATCAGATCTCGGCCGTGAAAGCCTTCAAGAATACACAATGAAGACTCTTTGTCTCTAGGAGTTTAATTGAGGATATTTGGAAGAAGCTCCCCACCAACACCGCAGACTGTACCAAGTCTCCATAAGCCAGTTTCAGCTATTTTAAACCATTGGTTCTTAACCTTGGGTTACTCAGGAGTTTTGGACTGCAACTCCCAGAAGCCTTCACCACCAACTGTGCTGGCTGGGGTTTCTGGGAGTTGCAGTTCAAAAACATCCGAGTAACAAAGGTTAAGAACTGCTGTTTTAAACAATTGAAACAGAAGTCACTAAATGGAAACTTCGAATCTAGGGTTTCTTCCCTTGTGGGTGAGGAGGACAGAGGCCCTTAGATCCCTCACAAACCCCCAAAGGAAAAACTACAGACGCAGACCACTTTTGAGGAAGAATATCTATATATTTTTTAATTGAAAGGCCCTGAGGAGAGTCCACCAGGTCTACTGAAAAAGCCCCTAAGATCTGCCTGCTGCCTGAGGACCATATAAGGCCTATGTCTGCCCTACACTTTGTGCAGGATTCTTTATCCATTCAGTCCCTTTATTTACCTTCAGATGAGAATCCTGGCTTGGATAGGATGGGTGCTGAATAAACCTTAGTCTTCTCTCCATCAGCCATGAGAAGAAGGAGAAATTTCAGTATCCTCCGGCTTTCCCTCCTGAGCTGAAGTCGAAGATTCAGGATGTCCGAGATAAAAATACCTTTCTAGCTGAGAGGATGAAGCAGTTCAAAGGTAAAGCAGAATGCCGGCAAAGATTGGCCCTGGTCCTAAAGGGAACGAGAGAAAGTGTGGTTTTTATTTTCTTACTGTCACAAACTGCAGTCAAGCTAACAAAGGCCCAGCTATTCTTTCCTTTTCCTGCCCTCAGAATAGACCCAACATAGGGTGACTCTCTGGCTTTGTGCAATGAGGTGGAAGGAGGATCTTGACTGTAGTGAAAAAGACAACATTGTGTGGGTGGGTGTGTTCCCTCCCGTGTGTATCCGGGGCACCCCCTTCACAGCAATTGCTCATCTACCTAGTTTAAGGAGGTTTCTTCCGTTTTCAAGTGCCACAATTTGGTCTTAAGACATTGACAGATCACCCAGCATTTTAAAATCTTTTTGGAGCTTTTAAAAACACTTTTTGGCACTCCAAACATCAGCATTTTATCAGATTGCCTGCATTGGAACTGAGGGCTGCAAAGGTATTTGCTAATGAGAACTCCAGTCAGATATACTGATAGGTGCTCTCTGGGACCACCTCAAAGCTACAGGAGTAATGCATTAAAAAACTTAGTCTAATTTTTTTTAAAAACACACACACAATAATTGTTACTGAGAATAAATTACTAGGAGAAACTGACATTTTATAACATTTCATAACAACACATTTTATAACACACTATAAAAATATAGGAAGTTTAAAACATTTGGTTCACTTGAAAAGAAATAGAAGGAATTCATGATGCTTCAATAACAGAAGGTATGATGATGATGGTGACAAAAGTTCTACACTCCTGGTGAACTTCTTTGAGAAAGAAAAGGGCCAAAATGATAATTAAATCTGCTTAGGATGCATAATAATTAAATCTGTAAAGGATGCAACAGGCTAGAAGACGTCCAGTCTTCATAGATTATCTCAAAGTTTTAAAAACAATCCGTTCTCCAGATTCCTTACTCAAATTTTAAGTAAATTTGAAGGAATTTTCTGAAGTGAACCAGTACCTTTGCAGTTTCTACTTCATTCTCTGTTAGAAGCCTGTGCAGTGGCAATAAATGGATGTTTTTGTGTACATGAGCCCATGCTGTGTGACCTTTGTATCTTTTTGCTTTCACAGATGCTGGATCCCTAGCACAGAAAGGTAGGTTTCTGATGGCTCACACATTTATGGAAGGGATGGTTGCATCTGTCAGAATTTGGTTCTCTTTATGAACAGAAGGCATCCTCCCTCCCTATCGGAAGGAGAATTTCCTTCTCACCCCCACTTCCACCATATTGGAGTGTGATGCTTTCACACACGTTCCCTCAGGAGGGCCAAAGCAAGTTCAATTATCCTGACCCTGCCACATTGTTGTTGTCCCTTATGAGACCAGCTTTGTGTAAACTGATGGTCGTGTGTGGAAATTCCCTGACTAGCAGATGGAGAAACTAGAGGGGCACGGCTGGGGCAGGATGGCACATACTGTATTAGATGATCCCTGTGGAAATAGACCCCAGATGTTGTGGGTCACACCAGTAGAGTGATATCCAAAAACAAGCTACTGAAAGACAGACCCCAAAGAGAAACTGATATAAGACCCCCATGTTGTCATTTTCAGGTCACACCTGAGGTCACAGATCTCATCAAAGAGCAACAATTCTCGGGGAATTTGAAGAGGAGGCCTGGACTCACCTTCAGATAACACACATACGGGGGGGGGGAGAGGAGAGAGAGAGGGAGAGAGAGAGAGAGAGAGAGAGAGAGAGAGAGGACTGATGGGGAAACAGAGACCAAAGTCTATTAACAAACTCAGGCATGAACCACATCCTTACTTTCTTCTCCTCCTTGTCTCTCTTTGTCCCCAAACAGCAAATGTCACTCTGGATCCAAAGACAGCACATCCCAAACTCATCCTATCCGAGGATCTCAAAAGTGTGAGACATGAATTAAAGTCGCAAGATGTTCCCAACAATCCTGAGAGATTCAACATCTGGCCTTTTGTGCTGGGTAGTGAGGGGTTCACAGCTGGCAGACATTACTGGGAAGTCACTGTGGGAAATGAGGGAGCTTGGGCTGTGGGGGTGGCCAGGAAGTCCATACGGAGGAAACACAATGTTGGTTTGGAAATGAAGGAAGGGATCTGGGCTGTGGGGAAATGGGAAGGTGAATACAAGGCTTTCAGTGATCCTCCCCAATCTTTTCTTCCCTTCAGTGGGAAGCTGAGGAGGATCCGGGTGTCTCTGAGCTATGAAGAGGAACAGGTGGCCTTTCATGATGCCAATACAGCATCCCATCTCCACACCTTCTATGGAGCCACTTTCTCTGGGGAGACCCTTCTCCCCTTCTTTTGTGTGGATGGAAAAGGTTCCCTCACAATTTTAAGGCAGCCAAGCTGACCTCAGAGGGAAATCAACCCTGAACACAATTGTGTCTCCTCCCCCTTTGGCAAACCCCCCCCCCCAAGAGAAGCTTCTGGCCAAAATTCTCTCCAGAAAACAATCTGAATCAAGATAGAAGGGGATCTGCTTTTCTTCCTCCCTTTACCAGAAATCTTTTCTCCCTTTGCCAAGGAATTCTTAAAGAGACACGTAGCCCCTTTTCCTAAGAAGCAGTGACCTGAAATCTCTTCTCTGTATTTTCCGGAAGAGTGCTACCCTTTGTTTCTAGTCTCTCTTTTCCTTTGCTCCAACCTTCCAAAAGCTGTGTGTTTGTTCCTAAGATGCCCTGTCTCCAAAATAAAAAGACACCATCTTTCCTTCTGTGTTTGTTCTTAAGATGCCCTGTCCACACGATCCGCCCCCAAAATAAAAAGACACCATCTGTCCTTCTCTCAAGAGCCCCAACCCCGAGAATGAGGAAATCTTTGTGACTTGTTGGAGGAATGTGCCATTTTCAGGCCAAATCTCTGACCTCAAGAAAACTAACTTGTGCATTTCCCTCACAAAAATAAACATGCTTATTGTTTTGCTATTATAATGGGCTGGTGTGGTTTTGGATGGGCTTGCATTGACCTAGAACCACAGAATGGCATTGCAGAGGATGGAGAAGCTCTCTCTTAAAATATGGGTGTTTGCAGAACTTGTGTGTAATTAGCACTGATGCTCCAAATTTTCAGACAGTTCCTCTTCTTTGTTTAGTGTCTATTTCCATGAACATGTTCATCATGGAAGAGAACTAGAAATATCTTCCTTGTAGGATTATTGCACTAAATGAAGGTGGGGAGACTTTTTGGGAATTAATATTAGATGCCTTGTTTGGTGCTTTCCCCCTCCACACACACCCCATTTTCTAAATAATAACTGCAAAAGGTGTGTAGCCATCCACTTTAAAATTGCAATCTCAAATACCGTGTTTCCCCGATACTTTGCTATGTCTGCACACTAGGAGGGAGAATGCAAAAAATAAAAGAGACATATTTTTTCTTGATCAGAGTCAAGCTTGTTTGTCTCCATAACTTGATCTCCCTTCTAACACCCTATGACACATCAAGTTCTGATAAAGATACATCCTGCAAACAGGCAAAATGCCTGCTCATCACGCTAACCCATCTCTACCTGATAAACAATGCATAGACTGGAGGGACGGGGGAGGAATAACCATTGTTTATAAATCCAGCTTGGAGGTTACTAGGCGCTCCTCGGTGGTAAAGCCGGGTCTAGAGGCACTCCATGTGTCCATTGGGGCCAGGGATGGTATTGGGATTTTGCTGGGTTACCGCGCTCTCCGCGATCCAGCGACTTCCCTTCCGGAGTTGACTGACTTTGTCTCC